AAAAAACATAATAGTATAGTGTATAAATACTTATTGCTGATATCTGAGCAATGAGCAATTTTTTTTATAACATTTTATAACTTGTATTTTTTTTTTTATATCTCAGACTTATAGAGACAAACAGTTCTACTTGTATACCAGCGTAAAATGAAACATTTTTTTTGTCATCAATTAAAAAAGGTAAGGTAGTGTCCTAACAGCAGATCCATGGGAACACATTACAAAGGGTCCTTAAAGTCAAAGCAAAAGATAAACAGCCATAGCTCTCAGAAATTACCATAATCTGTAGTTATTTTAATTTACTTCAGCTTCAGCCATGGACGAAGTTTTGATTTCAGAAGTGGGGAGGACGCAAGTATTTTTTAATTTAACTCTTATATAAGTTCAGCGTGTTTTCTAGTATTTCTTCTGTGTTTGTTTCCTCGGCTTTCTCTTGCTTCTCTGCTCTCCCTCTCCTGACAAAATATATGGATACATGACTTGAACAATTGGACAATTTGGGGTGAAACAATCCATGTAGATTAAAAACACATAGTTTTACAATTATTATAAGTTTAGATATATATATTCGAGTTGAAAATATAAATTGTATTTTTTTCTTTTTTGATTATAATAATATATAACAATAATACATTTGATTTATCAGCACTTTTTTTTAGTTTTTACTGCACTAGCGGCTCGGTTTTTCGAGAGTAGACTGACAGGAAAGGGGGTATGAGAGAGGGGGAGAGACATATAGTGAAGGACCACAGGTGGGATCCGAACCCGGGTCGGCTGCGTCGAGGACTAAGACCTCCGTACCTCTAATAAAAAAAATATACTTTACAAGGTTAATGAAAGTTTTAAAATGTGGTGGAGGATCTTGAAGTGGATATGGTGCTTTGTGGAGCCAGTGAAGGTGCCGTAGGAGGGGTGTTACACAATTCTTTGAATGTAACTCACACTTCGACTTTTAAAGAAGACTCTTATGTCTCTTTCTTTTTTCAGACAAACTGGCTATGAGACTAATAAGCAAACACACACGCTAATGCGTGCACGGACAGGGCACCAATTGAAAGATTTGTGTAAACTCATATACTTGATATTACAGCTCTTCTGGATTATGTGAGGAGAAAAAATGCCTAATTTACAGTAGCAGACTCCCTCACCAACTGTCGTCTTTTGCAGACCTACGTTTTTCTACACAACATTTCCCAGACCCAGTTCAGTGGTGCATGAGATGTTTGTAAAGCTCCTCATGAGTGATAGTGGTGACAGCCAATAAGACAAGAAAAGACGGAGGTCCAATCAGGAGCTTGTGGGCGGTCTAAACTCAGGGAAGCGGGCTTCAGCATGAGCTGCGGTTTTCTGCTTGGTCCTAGTACTCGACGACTGTCTATGTACTATAGCGTAACATCGCTCTTGGACAGCAATTAATGCAAGGGACCAAAACAGACTTCTGAAAAAGTGCAGGGCGCATGTCCCCCTGTCTCCCCCCAAAATTACATCTGTGCAGAGCACACACAGGACTTACTATACCTACTTGAAACACTAGCACACACGCATAAAACACTTAGCAACTGGCCATTTCTCAGCTATTTAATATAAAATACTATTTTCATTTTTATGACCAATTTTGAGACCACATTTTCATTCAAAACCACACGGACCACATTTTTTATTTGAGAAATGCAATTACGTGTAAAGTGCAACAGAATGCTTCTCTCAATTTGTTTATTAATCATAGTTCTAGCTTATCTCTCTGAGATCATTTTTGCATAATGTTTTGTTTGTAGAAATGTTTTATTTGTTTTAGTTGGTGGGGGTGTGCGTGTGTGTGACGCAGACTCATCAGAGCAACAGATTATTCTCTTAGTGTATATTATTTACAACTACATTATTTAAAGCTAAAAGTCTATATACAAAGATTAATGTTTGTCCACAAAAGAGCAGCTAAAACGTTAGGGCATAATTAAGGCAATAGCTGATGTTAAACGAAAAATTGTGTCTTAAAGCCCTTCCAGTAAATCGCTTCCTCAGCAGGCCTGAGTGTAATTGCCCAGTAACCCTTACATCTATCTTTATGATCTTTATTTCCAACTTCTACCCTGTGATGTGGCTCTGGACTCCGTGCCAATCACTGAATGCCGTTCCACCCTGGGCTCTGGGAAAAGCAAATAGTCCAGTTTAGTTTTAAGGTAGTCCAAAACTTCAGGTATGTGGCAAAGACCGCTTTAAAATATGCTTTCATTCAACCTGTTCTGTAGAAAGCCCAGCAAGACCTCACAGTGTAAATATTCTTCATCTTCAAAGGTTACAGACTACTCGAGGTAGTATAAGGCGAACTGTATTAGTCGCCTACTTTTAAACAAAGTCATTATTGTTCTCTGAAACTGTGTAAAAATAAACAGTTGATTTAGGAAGCACCACCTTCCCAATTATCATTGAATATCAAAGAAAAACATCCATACACTTTTAGAAAATTTAAACAGCACATAAAACAGTGGCGGCCTTTATAGTATACCTCATATCTTGCTTGTTGACAGATGGATTACATTTCAACCTTCTCTGCAAGGCAGAATATTTTAACCAGTAGCAAAAAGTAAGTGGGTGCAATTTTTTGATATATACACCTTGTAAAGCTGGTTTAGACTGAGAAACACCACAAAAAATGGAAAACACATAAAAATGCTTTCATTAATCAGTGTTTTGTTATTGGCATGTGAGTTAAAAAAAACAATTATACACTGGCCGTCTTTCTTTGCACTTAAATTTTGACAAGACCCTTAAACCATGCCCAGTTACCCTAGAAGCATTAGTCACCAGAGAACAGTTAAATGAAACTCAGGGGTGACATTTCAGTTGAACTGTTTTAAGGTTCTGCCAAACATTATGAGAAGCTTGTACATTAGTCGCTAATTACACATAGTGAGGAACTATAGATTTTTTTTTTCTTTTACTCCTGGTTATTAGAAAGGGATCAGATGTAAGAACCTAAAAAAGGATCATGATCACAGGCAATTAATATATGTTTCGATTAAAAGTGACTGGAAAATATAGTAGTACTCTTTAAAGATTTTATTAGGTTATGATGAAAATTCTTGTTTTTTTTTTGTTTTTTTTTATTAGAATTCCAGGCAGAAGAACTGTGAATAGATATACACATAATGTGGAAACAAATGATTAAAAAAAAGTTTTGTTAACATTTTAATTTAGTTCCTCCAACTTCATACCTTGCTAATTATATAAGGGCTGGATTTTTATTTGTGCAAAGTGGAAGAAATATTGGATGTCAACTGGTTAGTGTTGACCAAGATAGAGGCCCAACTTATGCATTCCATGATTTTGTTTCCAGAAACATTGATGAATATTTTTTTTTTATCTATGATTTTTTTTGTTCTATCAGAATAACAAGACCAAATTGAATCCATCCAGGAAGGCCTTTAATTATGAGGTGATCTTTCCAACAAGTCAGAAAATGTATCAAGTCCAGTCCATCAAACATTTTAAGTTTGCTTTACATTGTCTTGGTCTACAAGCAGTAATTATGGTAGCCATCACAGGAAATTGGATTTTTAGATTTTTTTTTTACTACTGTCAGATGTGGCAACAATATGATTTCTTATGGTGGTGAAAACCTTTTGTATTACAGTTAATAATTTATTTATGTAAAAGAATACACCAATAAAGGTTTAAGCAGAAGCCAAGGAAGGCAGCGGTACATTTGCTAAAATACAGTATCCCTTACTTATCCTGCTACATGTATGAGTCAAAATGTCAAAGTTAGAGTCAACCTGAGTCATGGACAGAGGGGACCAAATACAATTAAGAAAATATATATTTAACAAAGGATTAATCATATTGATCATAGCTGTTAAAAAATTCAAGACTTTTAAGAATTATGAATTTGGTTTTGTTAAATTTTGCAGACTTTTGAGAAGTGCTTGTTGAGTTAGTTAATTCAAAATGATTCCGGTTTCCCCCCACATAATGTAGAAAAGAAAATAATCAAGAAATCTGTCTATCAGTACTGATGATTTTTTTTGTTTGTTCATAAATAAAATGACAACCTGGTAATTATTTTTTTTACCATGATAGTGTAAAAAAATGGGTGGCAAAGCATTAAGCAAAAGGCAAGTAAAAACAACAACAACAAAAGACCCCTACAGAGCTAGAGATAATGAGCTAAGAGCCAGAGGACACCCAGCCATGACTTCATTTATTTGGCTCTGAGATGGAAACAAATGCAGCCTCTCTGTGTAATTAAAAGACACCCTGGCCTCACAAGGATATGCCACACAAATGGGAGAGAGGGAGCAGAGGCAAAAGAGAGATTCAGAATGCAACCCTATTGTGTTTCATGGAGGGATTTGACCAGTAAGGCGGTGGTCTTGTGGTCTGGCCTTACACCATGCTTTAGGCTCTGATTACAGCATCTGCCTCAGCCTTGTCCAGTCCTATGCCCATTATACATTGCTTTAGTACAGCCTATATAAAACAAAGTGATCTTGTTTATTCATAAATGTCCATTTAAAGTAAAACAAATACGTGTTCAGGTAGTTTTATATTATTTAAATGCAAAAGTGTAAGTGTGTGCCTTAGTATATGAAACAACCATATGTGCCTTCATATCACATTGAGGCAAGGCCATATATTTAGCACAGACAGTATTTATAGCAGTCGAACATGGATGAAATACGTGGTCTACTTTCTCACCATGACATGGTGCCACTTCTGTCTTTCAGAGGAGTTATGGCTTGTTTATGCACATAGCCAGACATTTCAAATACACTGTAACATACTTAAGGAATATACACAAGTAGAAAACATATTTTAACAATTAGAAGCAAATACGCTACTTGCAAAATTCCAATAAACTCTTACATAAGAGTGTAAATTCTTTTCACCCTCCTTCACATAAACAGTCAATGTGTTGCATAAAAAAAATAAAAAATAAATCACAAAGAAAAGAAATACTAAAAGAAAATAATTGCTGTGGAATTTGTTTCTGCTTTTCTCAGATGCTGATCTGCAGTTATGTACACACCAAGGTCCATCTTGCTGCAACAGGAAGATGGAAGGAAGCTACATGAGTGCTGTGAAACAAGAGACTCTGCAAAAAATCGAGTCCCACACCTATCAGCTGCAAAGCCTCCTGTCTGGTCATTTAGACAACTTTCAGGGTAAGTAATCAAGCTTTTTTTTGCAAGATTTGAGAAGATATAGGTGGGATGTCCTGATCTGATACTAATATCTGATATTCGCCAATATCACACAAAAACAAATATGTAACCCATTGGTTAATAATAAATGGCTCAATTGTTCTCATACTTATTGCTTTTGACCATTGATCTCTGAGCATTTCCTAGCATTCCATACTACAGAATAAGTAATGAAGATATGTATTGCTGATATCGGACCGGTTCAATATTGGTATTGGCCAATACTTCGAGCTGCAATAGCTGTACCATTTCGGAAAAGAAAATGTAGTATTGGGACATCCCTAGTAAAAACCCTTTTTCCATGTAAGACTTTATTAATTCAGTAACTTGTAGTATTCAGTACAATATGGAGCTGGGTATTATCGCAGATCTCTGTTATCATTAAAGTATAGGTGTGTGTAAAACTGCGTTGATACAACTTTTACATGGGGTGTTATGTTGCAAGTCTAATTTGTTATTCTCTATATATTTGCTTTGAATTTTGCCAGTTCACTGAGTGTAGTTTCCTAAAAGGCCATACCAGGAATACTTTAGTGGCTGATATAATAAAACACACTGAGAGTGGTGGGGACATTATGTAATGGTAAAGAAATGTGGGTTAATAATAATCCATAATGTGACTTTGGTTTTGTATTTTAATATTACCTGAAATTAAATGACTCAAGTAGATTATCTAAGCGCAGTAGAAGGAGAGCCAATGGGCCTCCCTACAGCACAGTTTAAAAAAAAGAAATTATTTTTGTGTTTATGGAAATTTTTAAAACAAGCCTATTTTTTTAGCTTTTAGCACCTAGGACAGCTCTCATCAACTTTAACTCAACACAAAGTGTTATTATGTACATAACATAAGAATCCCCCCACATGAGGTTTATTCTTAGTTCTTATTCAGTTGGTTATGCATTTGGTTCGTTGTTTGAAGAATTTAAAAAAGCCTGGCTTGACACTCCGCAGAATGAATAACTTAATGAGTTTCTTTAACAAATCCTTCTAAACTTTATAATATATGATGTAGCAGCAGCATGTTCAGTTATGTTATGAAAATATCTCTGTGATGAATATAGAATAACTTCAACCATCTGAAACATTGTTTTTGGAAAGAAATATGGTCAGAAACACAAGAATTCACTTATTTTGACTTAAAGAGACTTTTTTTTTTTTAAAGTTTTTATTGAAAAAGATCTTTAAGATAGCTTTTTTTATTTGACCCTTTAGAACTAAAACAATGTTTGATGAGCAGACTGACACCTCAATGGTTCAGTGCAGATGCATCTTTTAGCCTGTAGCCTAATTTTCCTGAACATTTCTCAGGTCAGAAGTTCCTGCACAGTTCTGTAGATGTGACATCAAGCACGCCCATACTAAATGGATAAGCTAGAATCCTAGAAAACAAACAAAGTGTTATATTCAATATGGATTTTTTGGATACTTTGAAGCGACTGGCATCCATCTCAACCCAGACACCAATGGCAACTCTACGGTGAAAAACGTAGAAAAAACAAACCTTGTCAAGTATGAGCACGAACTACGAGAACGAGCAGAAGAGTCCTGCAGTTCTGTGTTTTTGCCACAGGTGGCGGTATATTTAAAAAAAAGGCCCCTGTAAGGACAAGATAGATATGCGGGGGAGGTCAACATATGTTGTTGAACTCAAAGGAAACCTTACCCATTCTGGAACATTGTGGTAATGGCACCATACTAAAGGTTTTTTCAATTAGTTTCAGCTCAGGGCATTTTAATACAGCTCTACTCCCTTTGAAGGCATTTTGTTACTAATTTTAGTGCCTTATTATATTTTGTTCATGCCATGCATACTGAAAAAACTTTTTTCAGCCACGAAACAGCTGTACACTTTTTTTTGTATTTCCAATTCAGCAAGCAAGCTTTCGGTAACATTAGTCTACCATCATGTGTCATCTGGCTCCTATTTTTCAGTTTAATAAAACCCCATGGCTTCTCTTTCTTCTGGACTTATCCAAAATATTTTGTCTTGCTGTTATCTTTGAATTCTATGAAGGCTGGTTAATAATCTATGAGAACTGAGACAGTTGTTGTCGTTCTAGTAGTGAATGACATAATTTGTTCACTCCGCCCTATATGTGTGTGTGCGTGTGTGTCTGTTTCCTCCTGACATTTCAAGAATTAAATTTTTTTATAACATGAACGATTTGGATTGCCGTTGTTTTTTTGTTTTTTTTTTAAAGTGTGTCCCTGAACGATTTTTGATTGCCGTTGTTGAATAGGAAAGGCGCGCAGGATTTTTTTCTTTTTTGATATTTGGTTGGAAATACCCTCCTTCATTTCAGGTTTTTACAGTGATTTAATAGTTTGAGGGTCAGCTTGTAAAGGAGGAAAGAAAACATAAACACAATCCGATCGTTTGTAGTGGTTATGTTCTAAATGCCTCCCCTCCCATTTTGTTGCTGTTGTGTTCTCTTTTGCGGGTTTAACGCAAACTTCAGTGAATTGGACTTAATGAAAGTTGGGCAGCTGAGCTTCTTGAGAATTATGATATCTTCAAGAGATAACAAGCTTTTTTCTAGTTCTTGCCACAACAAGAACAAGATGATGTTTCTTGGTTCTATGGGACAGACATTGTAGCAATCTGTTGTGTCCCTGAAATCTAATAAAATGTGCTTAAAAGTCTGCAGTTTCTCCATTTCTGTTACAAAGGGAGATAGGGCCTTGTTGTTATGACAACCCTATCCATATTAATTTGTTACCTTCTTTTAGGGCAAAACCAGCCAGTTTAAATACTCTCTACCAATTCTTCTAAGTATAGTCTTCAAAAGGTCTTCTTACTTCAGCTCGAAACCGCTCTAATCAGTGCTGAAGCTGGTGTTGTGATGAATCGAAAAAGAACCAAACCATCTGCAAAAAGTAATGAAAATGAAAGAAGGAACTTATTCGTGATTTATTGAGGTTTCCTTGCATCTTGCTTTAAATCATTTACCCAGAAATGTATGGTAGTTTATGCATATATTGGAGCCTGAATATATAATTTTGTCCTTGCATGGATATGAGAAAATCTAGAATATTGTCAGTTGTGTTGTGTGCAACCACTCCTTAGCGGAAAAAAAAGATCTCACTGTGACCAATTTTATTAATTTAATATTACGTAACCATTTAAAATATGTTATTAAACCATACCAACCTTCTCAGTACTTTAATCTCCACATTTTTGAACACATGCCATAAAATCCATCTTTTCCACACATGATGTTCAGGTGTTTAGAGTACTGGAGATAAAACCCTTCCTCTTACAGCTGTCTCAACAAGTACCATAAGTGAGTTTAAAGAGTGTCTGCTACTTGTCTCTTTTACCATGAATAAGATCCTTCCCATCTTACATCATGTCTCAGCCAGTCTGGACAATGACGAGCAGGTGTTTCACATTTCCCGAAAAGTTGAAAATGGAAAATCATAATGGAGCAACAGTAGAAAGTAGGGTGTGATGGTGTTAAAAAATAATGATGTCACTGGCCCTTTCTTTTCAATGCCTTCTAAGGACAGTCTCTGCTCTGTCTGAGTGCCTTGAGAGGAATGTGAAGTAGCAAGTGGATCATGCTGCATGAAGTAATGACTCCTTGATTTTGGCAAGGGCATTTCTGTTCTGTATCTATGCTGTTGTTTTAACCATAGTGGCAGTTACTTTAACAAATTGGTATTTTAAAAACAATATCCGTAATCATCCAGCTGTTTGAAGTCATAAATTTCACTATATCTTACAATAAGCCTTGTGTTGCATTTCTCTGTCCTCTTTCCTATTTTATTTCTTGGCTGTGCAGCTATAGACAACACCATTTATGTAATTAAAGTTGGTTGGAACGGTGCCCAGCCTCAATCACCTGACATAGACACATTTAAGGGCATACTAATTCATTCAAGTGGCCAGCAAACGAGTTTAAAGAGTTCAACTGGGCTGTGACCACAACACTTCTCCGCTGTAGTCATATCTGCATCTTTAATTCCCTTTATCAACAGCCCGGTGTTGGGTGTGCTTGTTTTTTATTCTGTCCTCTAGTTGTTCTCTAACTTCTCAAAGTCACTAAAGTACTGCCACCAAATCTTAATCAATTTCAATTTAAAATACAAATGGATTTATGACTGCTACTGGATCTAATTTTAGCCCTTTCCAAATGAAATTGGAAATAGCAGCTATTTTGTTGCTAAACATATATGGCAGTACAAACTGAAAATAATTCATTTCTCACATGTTGACAGACAGGCATATATTATGTGTGCCAGCAGCTAAATGATATGCAAAGTATGAGAGGTGTTAACGTTACCCACAACTCTTCCTTCATTTTGTATGCAATATTTTGTACATGGAAATTAGAGCTAATTAAAGCCAGTTTGAATAAACTCTATCAATTCTTCTTTTCTTTCTTAGTTCCGACAAGTGACTTTGATTGCCAACTAGACAAAGAATAATAGAGAGGGGAATAAGTTCTAATCTGTGTTTGTCAGTGTCAGACATATTTATTCTTTTTTTTTTTTTTTTTTTTTTACAGTGTCTTTATTGGGTCAGCTCTTATTGGTCTGAATTAATATCCTTCCTAAGAATCAATTCCCATAGAGAAAGATGAGTTTTATCCTTTCAAGATTCTTATTCAGTTTCAATTTTAGCTTGCAAATCACAATTTACTTTTTTTTGCACTAAGGGACAGGGTAGGTAATTGTAAGAATAAAAATTAAGCTTACTTGGGTTGTGTGATTAAGGATATCTGTGCACTAAAGATCATGGCCCAAAGGAAGGAGAAGTAACAAACAGCAAGAAGCAATGTTGAAATGCACATGCATAAAATACAAAGATTCAGTCCTAATACATACTCGATTAAACTCCCATACCAAGCATGTACTAAATTAGGCTTATCACTGCTTACTTTAAGCAAAATTGGCATGTGATATGTGTGGATAATTTTGAATGTGTTTGCAGAAATTAAAATAAATATATTTTTGCA